GTTGACATCCAGATTGCGTCTGAGGCAAACCGGAAGTCCATCCCAAAACCAACCTGGAAGCAACGCCCCCCAAAACAAAGGTTCCGCTTCGCCATTACCGCTCCCGTCCCCACCTCAGGAAAGCACTATAAATACAGGCAGATTAACATGCCGAACTGCAAATAAAATGTAATTTGTTAATTGTTTTAGAAAATACAATAAATTATACATAAAAATATTTCAAAATGATAAAAAAAATAATAAAAATACTGTGGTGGCATTTTTTAGGTGCACCACACAGACTGTGTGACTAAATTTTCAACGTACTGAAGGTCTGACATGTTTTTGAGGAGTACAGCTGATTATTTCAGGGTGTAACGTACTTTCTCTTTCAGATTAAACTCTACCTTTTTCTTATTAGGGCATCCTGGGCTCTGGCTTTGCCCTCAAAGTTCAGGAGCAGCACAGGCAGAAACACTTTGAGAAGCGCCGTAACCCTGCAGCGGGCCTCATCCAGGTATCAGTCAAAGAAAAGCTTCATCACAACAATTTTTTTTTCTTTTTTTATTGTTATTATATAAACATATACAATCAGCTCCATAAAGGTACCGCAATGTATACATCATAAGATCACAGAACACAGTGTCAACAGAGCCAAACAACAACTGGAAAAGAGAAAAAGAATAAATAAATAAATAAATAAAGACAGAAATGATACAAAACAAAATGAAAAATAAAAAAACATACAACAGGGCAGCATATTAAAGTATAAAACTTTTCAAAAAATTGGACAGCTTAAACGCATTTTTTGACTTTACTAGACATAAAGATTTATAAAACAAGTTTAAATCATTCATCCACCGTCTACAGTTAGGAATGGTTTTAGAAAAGCGACATTTGTGTATATGAAATTTAGCTAACAATAAAACATTATTTATTCCATAGTCAATGAAGTGCTCATTGATGAAAATACCAAATTTAACATCTTGTATGGTTATATCTGCTAATTGTATACCATGGCTGAGAATAAACTGATGAAGATCTTGCCAAAAAGACTGAACTATTTCACACGTGAAAAACAGGTTATTCAAATCTTCAGTAACTTTTTCACAGAATCCACACTTATCTACATCCATTTTAAACCTGTGCCTCAGGAAGTTGTTAGTTGGATAAATTTTGTTTAAAATTTTAAATTGTATATCTTTTGTTTTGGAAGGAAGTGGAAGACATAAATATTTTGATCTAATCTTTTAAATTTGTTCTTTGTTAAAGTCTCTAAAGATATACTCTCTTTTAAGCACATCCGTGGCACAATAACTGGATAAACAGCTTCTTATAAACTTATTATTGCATTTGTTGTCACAAAAATCAACATTTTCAATCAAAAGAATCCTTAAACGAGGACAAACCTTAAAATACATTAAATCTTGTCTGACCATGGATACAAGCTGACGAGGGAAGGCTTTAACGATTTTTTTGTATTTTGCCTGGGTACAATATAATTGAAATGTATCATAAAACTCAGAATGCTATAATATGTTACCATTTGCATCCAAAAAGTGAGCAACAGCCCACACACCTTTACAAAACCAATTCTTGATAAAAAAAAGGATTTTCTATTGATCAATATATATCTATTGTTCCATATTGGAGTGTTATGTTGAGTGAAGTTGTGTTTGAAGATGAACTTCCAATACAAAAGAGCCAGTTGATGGAAATCTGAAAGNGCGATAAGTCGAAGCAGGATGTGTGTGATCAAGGGAAATAAATACATTTATGAAACGCCACTTAGGGCTTAGGGCTCACATTATTGTGTCCAATATTATTATGTGCTCATTGTTTTACCAGTCGACAGTAGCCTCCTGTCTTGATGCCACTTTATTGCTTTATGTCCCCTGATGCTCACCGTACTGTTTTCCCCTGCAGGAGCTCATCACAGCCTGGTATATTGGTTTCCTGTGCCTCATCCTGGCTTCCTTCTTGGTCTATTCTGTGGAAAAAGAGTCCAATGAGGAGTTTGAGACGTACGCTGATGCTCTGTGGTGGGGACTGGTAAGGCAGAATAACTGTGCTGTTATAAATGGGGCCATGATGTTTGTTCAAAAGAAAAAAAAAAGAAATTGAAACTGAAAACAGTTTGAAACAAAGAAACTGGAACTGAAAAGAAATGTTTTGAAACAGAAAAAATGTGAATGATGTTTTACAAAGAGATCTCTTGATCAATACACCTGAATTAGATTGATATTTTTGTGTTTTTATAATTTATTTCTACTTTTGTCCATCAGATCACGCTCACCACCATCGGTTACGGTGATAAAGTTCCCAAAACGTGGAACGGACGCTTGCTGGGAGCTGCATTCAGCATGATAGGCGTGGCTTTCTTTGCCCTTCCTGCTGTGAGTGTGTTGGTTTGTGGGGAAAGCTTTAAACCCAAACGCTGACTGAGTTCCTGTTGATGTGATGCTGCTGCTTTATGTCTTCATTAGAGACCGTAGATCTAGTTCTGCCAAGGGCATTTCTCTGGATGTGCTTTCATGAAGGTTGAATTTCTCCCCAGAGTAAATCACCTACAGTTTCACTCATTTCAGTCCAGTACTTCAACATTTTTAGTATTCAGTTAAATTCTATTTGTTTTTTTGTTTTTTTTTATCAACATGGACCCTTTTTCTTGACTAGTGTTCCTTCTCAAACCTTCTGACCTTACAGAACCAATTCATTTAGATTTATTACACTGAGGCAGATGCTACAGGTCCCGGATGTCAGGACTGCTGTAACAGTGATGACACACAATCTGAAGAGAAAATAAACAAAAGTCAGCAATGACGGCCAAGCGCTGCTGTTGACATCCAGATTGCGGAGTTTTTTTATTCAACAGACAAACCTTTCAGTGTTTAATGTTAATGTTTTACATTGCCATGGTCTCATAGATTTGGTGTATTTCCCTCACAGGCAACAATGAACCTCACATCTCCATCCCCCACCCAGATGAAGATAACCACGGCCTGTGCATTAGACACAAGTCAATTGCCACAAAGCTTTACTGCATCTAGTTACTAACTTTAACTGAATAATATTAAAACAAAACAAAATAAAACTTGTCCAACATGGAGACGTTAAGATTTAACGGCCCTCAGAGCGAGTCAACGTTAACCTCGCCTGACAAAAACTGGCCTAAAAGTGCACAAAAACCTAACTAAACGACATATTCTGGTCAATTAAGATGTTAAGTAACTTACACGGTAGTTTTGGTGTTTTCTTTTAACCGTATACTGACCTGAAGAGAAAATAAACTCAATAACGACCAAGCGATGCTGTGGGCTCTTTGCACTTACGGCGTTGACGTCACATCTCCAGAAGCTAATGCGGCTCACTGGCTTTAAGGAATGC